TTCCAGCTGGAGGAAGGATTGAAATTGATTAAAGAGCCATAGAATTCCCATGTTCATTGAACACAACATGCAGGTTCATGGCTTCTGAAACAAAATTCTCCTTTAGAAGAGTCATATTCTTGAACACTTGTAAATAACATCTGAAACGGCAAGGCCATTCAGGGGACACTCCTTGTCCTCAAAGGGCAGAAAGTTAATGTCAAAGCTTATGTTTTCCTCTTGAAATGGAACAGCTCCTTCTTTTGGCTGTGCCATTGTTAGAGTTCAGCAATGAAGAGGAAAATGAAGGTTAAAGAGGAGCCATTCGTCTTGTCAGCACTGTAGCTGCACAAGAATTGAAAAGTGTAAGGCACTCCAAAACAACTTACTTACTAGCAAGGAATAAATATATTTAACAGCTAGAGCAGGAAACCATGAACTCTACCACTGTCTTTGATATTTTAAAGACTCTTTTTTTTTGTCTGTTTGATATCTGAAGGCAAGGCATACCCACAGTTCCCAATTACTTCTCTAAGAGCCAGGCTATACAATACTAATACAGCCACTGGTGTGACTTGAGCTTCTTATTGGTAAAAAATAAGATTAATGAAAATTATTTCTGAAGTCAATCATTAAAAGAGTGCTAGGAACCACTGTAGATTAGTACAAAACATTCTTCTCAGTGCTAAATGAGTAACTGTGTTTTCTATTAATCTTTAACATACTAATTCTTCACCATGAAAAATAAACAAGGTTACTAGTTTCAGGCTAAAATAATAACAACAGTAATCCTGTTAAAGATTTAATGCCTTTTTTCAATACATTTCTTACCCTGGGCAAGATTTATAGGATTATAGCAAAGTATATTGGAAAAATGTGCGAATGGGTGGGACAATGCAAACCAGTCAGAAGATGAACCATCCCACATCATCTCTACACCAGCTACAAACCTCACCATGAAAATACCTTTTTCTGTCAGGTTTTCCTGCTCTCCCCCATACATGCCAAACCACTTACATGCCTTCTCACAATCTTTTCTTTCACAGTCTTCAACACAGAATCACCTGCTTTCTTCCCTCTTGACAATGCCACTAGTGCTCCAAGTCTCTTTTGCCCAAACATTATATGGGAGGTACTAACCTGAAGTGGATTTGCAAAGCCAAACCACAATTCCTCTGTTTTCTGTATTAATTCTTCCAAACAGACCATATGTATTGAAAATGCTACCACTTACTAAAGGCTTCACATTACTATTTTCTCCCCTACAAGTCCGTCTCCAAACTTAACACCTATGTGCATATCCGGGTTTAGTAAACAATCCCACTAAACGCACCCTGCTAGCCCCTACACAGATCCTCTGCCTCCTTGGGGTTCATTTGGCACCAAATTACTCAGTGCCAACGTCCCACAATCAGTATAACACGGGTCTTTTCACAGCTGCTTTGCAAGCTTTGCTTCTAGGGCCTTCCCTCATGTACCCTCTCAGGCACCACAAGCACCACAGTTTGGTCCCAGAAGCCTTAGATCACCCCCAGCAGCAGCAACAACTTTGTGTCAGCACCTGGCAATTCCCAAGCTTCTCACTGCTCCCCTAACACAGTTTTTAATTTGCCAAGAGGTCAATGCCAGAAGCACTTACAGGGCCCTCATGCAGGTTACTGTGGATAGCTCTTCCCGAATGGGTCTTGCCCTTGGGCTTGACTCCTTGGGAGGTCAGACTGCTATGGGCAGGCAAACCCTCACCAACTAAGGCAAAAAGTGTGTCTCACTTGTTTCATGACTCCTTTCAGGAATAAACCATACATTGCCACACATGGCTCACAAATGCTACTGGGTTTGTAAATAAATTACCTGTCTGTAGGGCCCTGGTAGGTGGTTCAGAGTTGATATGCATTAGAGAGTTAAACGCTTAATATTTTCAGTTAAGCACTCGATAATAAAGTTATACACCAAGCTACCACAAAGGCTGAGGAAAACACTGTCCTGTGCTGGGCAGACCACTTTGAGAACACTCTTAATGGCTGAGTTAAATGACCTCTTTCCCCTCCATGAGGAGAAAACCACATACTGAGTATCTCCATGCATTAAACGCTAGAGTATCTCTCAGCGCAGATACATTCTGTTCAACCTACCCTCAGGATTCCAAAGATGGAGATAACAGAGAAAGGATGGGTCACGCCACAGAGCCCTGCTATATGGGCAACCAATTTCCTTCTGAAGCATACAGAGCAATCCAGATGACCTTGAAATGCGTGGGCCTAAGGGAACAGTTTCATAAATGAGTACAGCAAACATCAAAGAGGACTGAATTAGACAGACAGACCACACAGACCCAAGCGGACTTGAACACTGGTGTCATAGCATTACTTATCATTTTTCTCTCCAAGAACAAAAGGAGTCAGCAAGCATCTGTCTATGTAACAAGACTAACTTCGGAGCAGCTCAAATCCCCAAATCATTTACTTTTGGTAATTGCATATATTTGCTTTTCGAATATTTCTTCACAGAGGAGCCTAAGGAGGATGAAGGGTAATGTGGAGAAGTTAGTAGAGAAGGAGGGGTAGATGACAGCACGCAGAAAGAAAAGAGGGAAACTAAATGAAGGCTCCCGACTGCATCCATTTCCTTTCAGAGTAACATTCCCTGCTTCTGCAAAAGGTCTCTGAGACCTCTCTTCACAGTAACTCAGGAGCTTGTCATCAGATTTACTTTTCAACTGAAAGGCTCATCACAAGTTCAAAGAATTGACTCCCAGTTCTGTCTCTGAGTAGAGCTGAAAGCTGCTTTTTAAAACCTTGTGTTTTGCAGAGTCTTGTCTGCCCAGAACATAATGCTGGTCAAGATTACAGAACATTTTCCTTGCTGAATGCCAAACAGATGTTATAAAACACATTTTTGTTTTCCATTTATTTGGAACATAGATAAACACACAACTTAGTGTTTTCTCATAATAAAAGCCCAAAAAAGCCCCAAAACCTGGAGTTGACAGGGTAATGCAAAATGAAATCCTGATGCATAGTTGGTCTTCGTGTCACATTTTTAAAGCCTGCTATGATCCAGGAGTCTTCAAAGATGCACTATCAGACACTCAGGATCCAAATTAGTAAACTAAATATGGGGGCTCTCTTCTGGCACACCATTAAACTTTCTTACCCTTCATAATAGGGTGTCTACATTCTGCCAGTTGGGAATGGTACCTACCAGGTGCTAACTCACAAGCTGCATCTTTGAGGTATCTGCTGAGACTGTGCTAGTTGATCTGGGCTAAAACTGCTCAAATAATTTACACTTCTAGGTAATCGAGTTACAGTGCCCAGAAACAGTCTTTGGTTTTGTTTAATTTACTAGCATAGACATAGCCCAAATTTCTCTTGGCCTCTAGCTATGGATGCAGAAATACTTTCAAGTTCCCAGGTTCATATCCACGGCTTCACTGATGGGAGGGCAATGCAAAAAAAGTCCTCCTCAAGGCCTTGATTTCTGTGTTAAGAAAATAGATAACAGACCAGGTAGCAAAGGTCAGGCTTTGTGAAGTATAATCTAACTCTCATTACAGCTCCAGGCATGGAGTACAGGGCTCCAAGAGCAGCTTTTTGCAAACTGGAGGGCTTTTAACAAGTTGGCTATACAGAAGGACCAGCTTATGCTCAGGTTAAGGTTCCAACTGAACGATGTTTTTCTTTCATTTTCAAAAGCTGAAAATTACCTGGAATTAAGTCACATCTGCTTTACAAAGATGATGTAAACAGCATTAGAATAGGGTAAACAAAGTGATCAAAAATATATTTAAAATACACAGAGTGGTGGCAATTTCAGAGGATTTTTTTGTTATAGGAAGTGGCTCTAGGAGAAAGCAGCTGATATTCCAGAGTCCCTCAGTTTTCAGGTAAACTTTCTGTTTCTGAGTACTCCAAGAGTTGCTGGTTTGGGCTCCAAATACCCACTCATTTTAAAACTTAAAACCATCTCAATAATTATATTCCTAGTGAATAAAATATTTAAGCTTGTACTCAAACCCCACTGATTTAATAAAATATAAACAAGCACATGAGTGCTTGGCTGGGATGTGCTAGGATCACCTTCAAGCATCATTCAAGTACTGCTGTTGGGCTGAATTAAGTCAGAAAAATGGTTGTCAGGATTTCTGTAAAGGCATCTTAACACTCTTAGTCTCAATAGGAGTTGAGACATTAATATCCATGGGGACAGCATCTCCCTTACAGGGAACATGATTATTCCCTGTGCTGTTTCAGAATGAAGCTGACATAACTCCACCAGCAACTCCCACGTAAAATGGTGTAACACAAGGAGAGACCAAGCGCCAGATTTCCATTCCTGACCTCTAACATAATGTTGACAAAGTACTGGTTAAGGTCCCAGCCCCTTCCTGCATCTGTTCATTATCTGTAAAACCAAGTGCAGTATTACTTGCCTATTTCCCAGGGAAGCAGTAATCATAATTTGATTAATAAGTGCAGAAGCACTTTGAGCTTCTTAGATAAGATACACTGCACAAATATTATCCAGGCCCATATTTTTACATTATAAACTAGGCAGAAAGTGGAAACAACAAAGAGGAATGGATTAATTATTACATTCATTTAATAAAATTTGTAAATGGATAAAGGCTTATACTTATTTGACTTGGCAACATTTACAGCACTCTACAGCAGCAAACCAAACATACTCACAAGAGGCCAGAGCAAATTCCTGCAATAAGGACATTAGTAGGGAAGCTTCACATTCTTGTTCAGGATACTTTTATCCCAGAGCTGCAGATGTATATACATATAATACTCTAACTTGCTCTTAACAGTTCTAAACTTACTGAAATTTATTCACATTGCTACATTAATTAGTTGTGTAGAAGAGTCTCATAGGTGAGACTGCATCTTGTGGTGCTGTTAAGAAACAAGAATTTTTAAAAAGCAGGGAAAATCTACTATTTGAGCTACACTCAGAAAACTGAACTTTCCTGTAAGATGGTAAATTATATTATCTTCTTTTTCCTTAATATAAAGGTTAACAACAGAATATCCAGGACACTACGGAGAAGATATGGACATGATGATGTACACTTATGACCACTACATCCGTGGGGCAACCACAACTTTCTCTGCTGTGGACAGGTTTGCTTTACATCTGTTTCACTAGAATTATTTTTTTTTTTTAAAAAAGGGTCTTCCTTTTCTATTTCCCCCAAACAGTGCATGGCTACACATCATTTGCTGTGGTACCCTGCATCAGGCTAGTACTTTGGAGGACCAAAGTTGACAGTGCATGTGGCTAACTGTCCAGTGTGGCATATCTTCATGCACAAGGGGATCATTTGCCACGTTCACCTGAGTAGTGAAAAATACAGCAATGGTAGGTTTAGCTAAATCTGAGCTCCACAAAGTCTAACAGATCTTCAGTATTGTTTCTCACCTACACTCCGGTTGAGGCATCTTTCATCTAACTCAGTAAAAAAAATCAGCCTGAACACCCTGTCCTTTCAAGGGATGAGGGACTTATTTTGGCCACTTTTCTTTGCAGAGAAGCAGGGAATCTGCCAGCATGCAAAGATGAGACCATACAACCTGCCATATGCATGCTGTAAACTGCCCAATCCATTGCAACACTTTAACAGATTTGGGACTACACCAGGAGTTAAGGCAATGCAGTGCACTGTACGTTGATCCCTAAATGGGTTAACCGCATTTTCTTGATCAGTCCTGGTCATTACTTGACATTTGCGGATCCTCTTGAGAGAGGTCCTATGGCTAGTGAAGTTGTTGTCATGCAAATAGATTCATAATTGCTCAGTTGAAAAGAAGCATCTCTCCCTCTTTACTATGCAGAACAGCAAAGTTTTAAAATTTGGATTTAACAAATCCCACGGTGCTGTCTGCCTGGGACTACGAAGATACTAACAGAGCCGGTTTAAGGACAGCATGAGCAGTCACTGAAACCCTACTGTGAGAGAGGGATCTTGATTTTTAACTCTCGAGCTGACCTCTAATATATCGACTGTGAGCTATTTCTCTGCTGATGTTTTTTATCAGACACCTCAGCCCAGTATATGAAAGCATTTATTACCAAACACAGCACATGGCAAGGTGTGCTGCACTGGCCTACTGCTACCAAGACTGGCTACAGGAGAAGGGGGGAGAGAAGAGAGAAGTGGGAGTTTAAACACAGCCACATTTCAAGCTGTTTTCAATAACACTCAAAGGAGCCAAGATGCTTTTGTCACTGTGATGTTCTCAGCTTGCTGGAGTTCACTAGGGATCCCTCAGCCAAAAGATTACCTAAAATAAGAAGCCTTTTTCAGAAATGATAACACATTGTCAGACTGCTGCAGGTCTGTAACTGTAATTACCTGGCTAAAATTCATTAGCCTGTTTATTATCAAATGGAAGCCATGTCTGCAAATTATTCTACAAAAATTCTACAAGAGGAGGGGTAATTTTCACAGTTAATTGACTCAAAGGTATCTCCTTATCCCTTTAGTTAAAGAATTTACAAGGTTGCAAGGGAGATCCCTGTTCTGTTTTTTTTCTCTTAAATATTCCCCAGTGCTATTCTTAATCCTTGTTCCTCATGGCCATGGCAGAGAGTAGGCGAGATAATGCAGACAGTGCACTCCGCTGCAGCTGGATGCTAGCCTCCACTGGATTTGGACCAGGGTAAAGTCAGAAATCAGAAGGACGTGCCCAGAAAACAGAGCAGCTGAGGAAACCAATGCCTCTGAGCAGATTTCTGTCTGTGACTGCTGAAGGCTTAACATGGCCTTCAGAACGGGGTGGCAGTGGGGGGGACTGGCCAGGAGCGGAGGCAGCATCACAGGGATGTACATGGGGAGTACAGGTCCTTATGGATTATGGAAACACAGTACCTGGAGAGGGAAGAAGCCACCAACACCTTCGTCCTACCATTGCTGTGACGGCAGAGATGAACCTGCGATAGTAGCAGGTGAAAACTATAGAGAAAATATTTCATGAACTGCAATCTAGGAGACTTTTCTGTGCCAGTGAACTTCCCGGCCCCTAGTTTCCAGAATGACTAAAATCAACTCATGTTGTCCAGTGTATGAACTGAAAAAAATTCTAGCTACATCAGTTCATAACTCAGATTCACGCTGAATTCGCCTGAGTGGTATACTCACAAAAGTTGGCAAAGTTTGTCATCCTAAATGGTTCTTTGCAGCTGGTTGAGGCAAAATAGGAGCACAAAAAGCTATTCTGAGACTCGCCTGCCAGGACCATGCACATATGTAGCCTGTCTGTGTAAGCATGATGGTTATTTTGAGACTGCTTTTCATTTTCAAGCACATTAAATTTGTGCCCATACTGCTTAGCCCATGATGGTCAATGTTCTTGAGCTAAGGTGTCTAATCTGCCTCTTGAAAGAGGCACAAAAAAAGCCTCTGAAGGTATTTCAGTTTAAGTTTCCCTAATCACTTCAAACAGGTATTTATAGATTTTTTTGAATAAACTTGCAGAAATCACATCCTCCCATCCTACTCCCTAAGACACTGCATCACTGAGGTCACTGCTAATACACAGATATTTGACAGAGCATGTGATGCCTCTGGAAAAAGCTGTAGAAAGTTTAGAAAGGTGGTATCCCCACCTCCTCTTCTGTAATTACTCTCTGTGAGTTTCCATGCCTTTGTATCAGGAATGAATGAAGGAGTTGCTGTTCATCATCAGAGTTTTTAAGTGCTCATGAGTGGAGAACACACTTTAGAAGTGGTTAATATTTACATTTCTTCAGTCCCATTTTAAATGGGTCAAAAGGAGAAAACAGTTGTCTATAACCAAGACAAAAGCAGGTGGAAAGAATTAGCAGTGGCCTGAAGGATCTCTAGGAGCACATTTGGGAGCGCAGTGGTAACACTGATGTAGACAGGACAACCTATGGACATAAGTGAGGGAACATTTGCAGGGAAAGGCAGTATCTTTTGTTAGACAGACTGGTACAGTCAGGTTTCAGAGAAGGATATGGGGTATGTGAAACAGACTGTAAACAACTGAAACTGCTCACACAAACATGCACATTGTAAACCCTTGGCAAAAGAGCTTCCAAAATTTAAAAAAACTCAACAAAATAGCCTCAAAATATTTAGCTTCAGCTTGAGCTCTGAAACATATTAAGTGATGATGGCATGGCTCCCTCGTGGAGCCTTGTTAGGGGACCATGGTCTGACCATGAGCCCAGAAAGCACCACTGGAGCATTCACAGCCCAACCTGCAGCACGTGGCTCAGACAGGGAGGTGGGATCACCAGACGTGCTTGTAGGTGTCACAGCTTGCCCTTCACTTGTAGTATAAAAACAGCACAAAGCAGACTGTCATATGATCATTTCTTTAACAAAACTGTTCTCAGCTCCATTTATTTGGGTGATCTGAATATCCAGTAATTTTTTAACTGCTCTGACAACATCACTGAAAGACAGATCAGCACCCAGATACCCCAGCAGTCAGTACATTTGCAATGCCCAGGCAAGCTGGATATCTACCAAGCTCAGCTGAGCTAAATCATAGGGTATTTTAGGTCCCTAATAAGTTTCATATGACCAAAGAAAGAGGATTTTCTCAAACTCAATATGAATAGGAATTCATAGAATTTTTAAACAATTGGAAACAGATTATTTGGCAATATTTGGAAATAAAAGATATTTTCCCTATAGCATCAAAAATTCAAATCTGAGAGTACATGACAGAGGGAGAGTGAAAGTGACAACTCAATACTGATGCCCCAAGCCAAGTAAAATGCATTAAATTAGCCGGGGCTAGGGGGTGGGCACCGCGCGCAGACAGGACAACAACACGGGACACCTACAAATTGGCGTTAAGGATTTGCAAAGACGAGCTCATATATATTCTAGAGGATGCCACATAGGGGAATTCCTGACAGGATCTGCACCCCTCCTGGAAAACTTGTAGAGGATCTACAAATTGAAGCAGGCTAACTACTGAATTAAACACACAGCACCAACGGTGAAAAGTAATTTCCCACATCCTGAGAAGCTGGATGTATATACTTCAAACACAAGTAATGCAAAGAAAGACAAATTAAGACATTAAATGCGTAACTGTATTAGCCATCAACCACATACACATATGGTAAAGTGTCTGCAAGTTCAATCTTAAATTACAGCTTCAGAAATAATTAATATTTTAAATGATGTTATTAATTCACATAACTAAAACATATTTTTAAAAACTTGACTTTTAACTTTACAATATCCTGTTTTAGAAAATGACTTGACCTCAGCTTTTGAGATAAAAGTCTCTCTGACAACAGGTGCTAGTTTAGCAGACCTTAATTTTGACCCATATAATCCTGTTAATCCACATATGAGTCATCTTTTTTTTCCAGTCTCTCTGGGTAGCTTAGTGACCAAAAGAGTAATAACTGTCTTGGAAGAGCATGCACATAGTCCAAATGAGGACTTCCTAAAATAAACCTAAAAATGAATCTGTCATTTCATTAACCTTTGGTAACAGTTTTGTGAGGCAATTACAATTAAAAACCATCTAGAAAAGACCTAAAGCAAACCAAAAATAAACACTATATAACTAAATACAGACTTGCTGATGAGTACGAAACAGACCCAGTTCCAAATGACACTCAGCATAAACTGGTGAAGTAGCATAGTAAATTTCCAATTAAAAAACCTCAGTTAATGAAGGCTGAAATGAGATGCTTTAAACCTACACAGAGTTTAAGAGTCATCTTAAACTTATTCCAGGATAGAGTCACCCCATCAGTGAAACCATGTACATGCAATTAATACCAAAATCTGGGCTCAGCACATCCCTGAGAGGCAGCAGGTTCTATACCACCTTCCTCAGTGTTTGGAAACAGCCACCAGAAAACTAGGACTGTGCAGGGGTCTTGTAAAGCAAGCTCCTACTGAATCACTCCAGCAGTATTACCTGTCCCTTGCCTCCAGTCTAGATCACTATTATTAAAATCCAAACTTTCAGAAACCTCTCGGAGTACTATCCACTACCAATTTAAACGATGGCTGCCATCTGCAAGGACTGTACCTTAGATCTAAACTCCTGACAGCCAGTACAAAGCAGCCTAAATCGAACATTTGATCCACAGCAGGACAGTATTTGAACTCATGCCTTTCTGTCGAGGGAAAATTTAATGCACGATAAGCTGAGGTGGAAATTTGCAGCCTGTATTGGACACTAAATCACTGGCCTCCACTGTTGAATCCTGCTGCTCCAGCCATACTTCCTACTAACAATTGTTAGTAGATATCCTACCACTCTCCTGAGAGAGAATACAGACATCCAATTGCTCACAAACCAGGAAGAGCATAAACTCTCCTTACACTCATAAACATTACTCTGCCTCACATGTGACTTGTGGAGATCAAGGATGAGAAGTGAATTTAATTTCTCTCACTATTGATTCCTTCACATCTTCAATAAAGGGCACCAGCTAGAAGATCTAGTAGTGGAAAGAAAAAAAAAAAAAAAAAAAAAAAAAAGAATTAATTTTGCTGTGTGGATAACTCCTCACTTAGAAATGGCTTGAAAATCACCCATGTATTTTACTTTGTACACATTCCCGAGCCATATATCACATGACAATAGCTTTTCACAGAACCATCCTTTACCTCTTGGTTACTGATTTAAAGTTGATTTAGGACTGATCACCATAAAGAGTCATTGTCTTCTGAAGGATACTCAGAGACCTAATTATTCAGAGCACTGATTTTCCTACCTTGTAAGGGAGTGTGAAGGAATTACAACTATCAGATATATTTAATCTCCTTCCAGCCCATAAAACCACAAAGCACTCAGAAAAAAGTCAGCTAAATGGCAGACAGACATTTTTGTTGCCACAATACCTGGTGTAAAGTTATTGTTACCTGTATAGTCTTATCCTCTGTAGGTCTGGCTCACTAATATCTCTCTCTTGTCTCTCTTTCATGCAGGGATCGTCAGTGGAAATTCATTGTCTGCAGGATGACAGAGTATGACTGCCCATTTCAAAATGTTTAAAAAGATTGAGTGTACCCCACTTGGAAAGCTTGGGGATAGACAGAGTGGGAAGAGGGTCAGTGATTATGGGAGAAGGGCAATTAGGCTCATAAAGTACCAAGGCTCATCAGCTGTCTGCTGAATATATAATTCTTTCCCTCTGGAGTTAATAAATAAATTGTCAGCCCATGTGCTTGCATCAGTGATTTTGAAGGGTTCCTTCAAGCTGCACTGGCAGTTGTATCCCCCAACTAAAATTGCTTATGACACACATGTTTATGATACACAAGTCTATGGCATATGCACAGTTACATTTTTATATACACATATAGCCATTCTGAACACGTACAACTTTCTTTCACATAGCAACTTTGTATACATTGCTTCCCAGCACAGTCACTCCCAGTGAGGTGGAGACACACTATAACCTTTCCAACATCCACCAGCCTTTCCTGTCTTCTACTTTGTACTTGGAACCAGCCCAGTGATGACTACCAGCTTCTCAGTGTGCTCTGAGCAGCTGAAAGTGTCCTGAAAGCGGCATCAGGACGTCTCTGCAGTACTGCAGAGACTGTTACAGCCCTCAGAGTAACTCCACTGCAACAAAGGTCTGCCTGCACAGGGGAATTCCAGGTGTTTACAACACCAGAAGACATCAATACCTGATTAAAATGACAGTAGATCCATCAATAAAAACAGAAGCCTAACCCAGCTTTCCTGAGAGTCTCTTTCGTTTTGTCTAAAAAGTTTCTGATGATATAACTAGCAGGAGCTCTACTCTGGGCAAGCCCTAGGAGTGGGTCAGGCCACTCGCACTCTCAGTAAAAACGTGCACTGCGCTTGTCAGGACTCTACTTTTCAGGTGGATTGGATTTCTGCTATGAGTGCCTGTACAACATCCATCCGCCCTAGGTAATGTATTCCTGGCTTAGAAGAGATAAATGAAGCTAATGACTTAGGTGACCTCAGTTCCTCCAACTTGCAGATTTCATTCCGTGTAAAGGATAAACTTGACCACGTTTCAAGACTGCACAGCAGTTGTGCAGCTGTAATCCAGCAGGAAAGACTACTGGTCTCTTCCAGAAAGATCTGAGGTAGGATTTTTGCTCTTGAACAAGCCAGAATTTAGGACTCGGTTTGTTAGCTGATGAAGTCAATGGTAAATTTAGCAGTGGTTTTGGTGGTGCTGGCTCAAGGGCCATGATGACCCCAGGTACCAATTTAAGGTTGTAAAGCTTCATAAGAAACAGTGGTGTCAGCCAACCAGTTTCAACACTCCAAGCATTTTTAACATATTTACTAGCATACCCTCAAGCATGAACATTAAAACTACACTTGTCCATTAAAAGAAAAAGAGGTTTTGCTCTGCTGTAGCCTTGTTCTTTCTTTATTTTATTCACACCAGGTTATTAATGTGCACACAAAGAAACCCTCTGTCCTTCTCAGAGACCATGATGGTGACTAGGGAGTTTCTGTGAGAGCCAGTTACTGACACATGTAAGTGAGAGAGGGAAAGAGAAATCAGGAGGCCTAGGGAAGCTGGAGAAGCCTGTTAGCTGACACTGCTAGACAGGCAAAGGAAGCCAAGTGAGCTCCAAACAGGAGCACCAGAGGAGAAAGCACTCAACGCAGAAGTTGGTGGAAAAGGTTAGGCACTATAATTAGGCATAGAAGGATCATCTCTGGGAACACTTGCTCTAGATGGACACCCATCTCCCACAAAACTTTATCGTGACTACTTAGGATGCTCTCAATTCTGTGTGCACACTACAGGCCCATGAAGGTCTCCGAGGGTACAGTGCAAGATCAGCTTAAGCTGATTTAGATCCACAGCACCATGGAAAGGAGCAGTTCTGCTCTCTTGTCCACTGGAGCTGCAGTGTCTTATTGTCCCATATACCACCTTTCTCCCTCATCCCTGTCCCAGTCACTTCCTTCCACCCATGCTCTATTCCCAGCTCCACCCTAGCAGTGCATCTGTGTAGGATACATTTCACAGGACTCCTCTTCAGAAAGTTAAGTAATTCTCAGATGAGGAAAGACGTGGGTGGGAAACAGAATGTATCTTGGGGGAAGGCAGAAATGGGATGTGGACCAAAAAAAAAAAAACACCAAAAAGCAGAACTGAGGCAGAGAAAGAGTGATTCCTGTGAAGTCCTAGGACAGATAGTTAGCAAGGCTAGGAACTGAACTTAGCTTTTATTTAAATTTCTATCTAAGTTGCAGCATCCACTTCTAATGTTTAGGTAATTTTTGCGTGTGGGAAGACATTGCTCCAAAGCTGATAAGGTTCCAGCCCAAATTCCTCTGCACAGAGCAAGGCGATGACGAGCCTGCCTTGCAAAAGTTCACTGGCTTCAAAAGCTGATCAAGGCTGCTTTTACTTCCGTAAAGCCATTCTGGAAAAGAGCCTTTCAACCTGCTTAGGACACCTCACCAGACCCGAATCCCCTTTCACTCCTGTTAACACAATCCAGATGCCATTGCAGGGAAACAGAGTTGTGCCTATTCAGACCAAGTGGCACTGAGGGCAGATGCCCAGTACTGGGAGCTCACAGCACTTCTTCCTCCTCATGTGTTCCATGGCACAGAAGCACCCCACCTACATTGCACTATACAGAGTAAAAGTCACCCCTAATCTGAGAGCCAACACAGAGCCTATGCATTACTGAAGTGCCATATAGGCCTAACATTTTAAATAAACCATTAATTTTTAATAAAGAGAACATCAGAGAAGAAAGTCTTATTTATTTAATAAATAACAACAGTCCGGACTGAATTCAAATCTGAGAGAAAAGCACTCTTTCGTAAATGCTGAGCATTGCCCCAGTCATGTTATGAGGGCTGCAGATAGCATACTGTCAGCATTGTCAGCGATTTTTTTAGATAAACTAGGGCAGGATAATCTTTGCATTCATAAAGGGAAATGCAGCAAACAAACAAACAAACAAATAAAGATAACTTTTTGAGCTTTTCTACCTCTGAATAAAAAAGGTGAAGAAGAAAAAGTGGGGTGGGCTGGCTGGGGAAGAGAAATACCAAGACTGAATTCTTTTGTGGGTTCCCTTGGTGAAGGCTGGTGCTAAGGCAAACCCACATCCTCCATTTGATCCACTCCACTTGAAGAGAGGTTTGAGTAAGAGAACAGCATAAGTAATTGAAGAAAACAGACAATTCTATCAACCCCAAACAGTCAAAGAGGAGGACTTGACTGCTCTTCCTCCCAAATCGCAAATTAAAAAACATGTTACTTTTGTAGGGAAAAAAAAAAAAAAAAAAAGGAGCGCTCTATTTTTTTCACATATTCTGATTTCTCAGTTTGCAGAGTATATAAACACTTCCAAGATTTTTCAATATTTTTCACTTTCAGTATTTTCAAGCACTTCAAAAAGTATTTTTCAATTACTTCTCAACAATGCTAAGCCTAGAAATGTGGTTTTTAAGTGAAAGCTGAGATTCTTGCTTAATCACTTGACAACAAGAGCTGGGATTAGTTTTACAGGACCATCAAATACTATGAGACTAACGATAAATATATCAGACTTAGAAGCACAGCACTGATTAAAAAAAGAAATAGCAAGCCCATAACCATGTTGAAATAATGCATATTTCCTGTAAAATCAGGAGAGACCTTCTACCCTCTTCCAGTCCAGTGTTCAGGATTTTGTAATATGAGATAAACCTGGCAGAGAGTTATGGCATCACCTAAGCAGAGAGATGCCAACACAGCTGAAGGGAAACCAGTCTGTGGATGAAGCAGAGGACCTGGCAGAAGACCAGATGGCTCTTTGGAAAACTTGCTTAGACTTCACCCTTGACTCACAGCCATTGAATCCTTTTCTGGTTTAAAACTTTATTTCAAACCTATGTTTATCTCACCAGCAACATGTTACTGTACTGGCCTGCATCTTTAAGGCCACAGTACTGTTTACAAGCAGAGAGTATGAACATCACTGGTAGTGGCACTTTGTGCCAGAGCTGTTGGCGTGAACCGTAGGCAGGAGGAGTTCTGCTAATAACACATTATCAAACATAAAACACTGCTTGTGCCTAGATTGACATTTCAAGACCCAGCAGTTACACAGAGGACTGCTACCTTATTCCTCACTATTTCAGGGTACTGGTATGGTGTAGCTGAAGCTCTGCACAGTAATCTGGAGCTACGCATTGAGAAGTTTAGAAAAGGCAGCAGCAGTGCCCACATGCTGGAAATGAAAGACATGCACAAGTGCCTGTGGGTCTGAGCTAGCAGGCTTGGCTCTGCCTTTCTGAGCACCATACCTGAACAGCATTGATTTCAGTCTCATCCACTGAAATCAATGGGCCTGCTTGTAAACTTTGGCCAAAATCAATGGAGTTCAGTCTTAAGCAAGAGTCAGGCATCTAAATACTTTCTAGGATCTTAGCTTAGCTGATGCATCTCTACAAGGAAGACTGGAAAAAGTGGACCTTGAGTTAGAGGGAATCAATCACGGAGCATGCCAAATACATGGGAACAGACAAGGCACTGCATGTTCTGTTTGTATTTTCTCAGACATAAAAATCTAACTGACTTAACCTCGTGAACACCAGGATATACTCTGCCTTCAAATTATTTAAGAATAATAAATAGAAGTTTTGCTGTAGGAATACATCCTAGATTCCCTACCTGTATATCAACTTCAAAACAACCATTAGCTCACTGACTCCAATAAGACCTTTTTCCTTGTGCTCTCTTACACCCCATATTTACAAGTCATTAGCATTACAGCCATGTCAACGGGCTAAATAAATGATAAAAAAATAAATGATAAAAAAAGCACAGCTACATTTTTGCAGGAAGTGAGCTCTAGTTTACATGCAGGAGAAAATTCTCTAGGTCTTGCCTGAAACAGACAAGTCACTTCATTGCAGAACCTGGTCCTAAAAAGATCAGCCCAAGCTGTGGAGCACACAGATGACTGAAGTGCACAACAAAAGATGGTTCTGTCTGAGAGAAAATTGAGGGAAATGACAAGAACTGAAGTGAAAACAGTGAAAGAAAGACATGAAGCCACCTGAAGAATATGCCATTATGTAATTTCTTAAAATAAATACATGCTCCTCTATCTTAGGAGATGAGATGACTAGGATAA